TGTGACTGAATGAGTGGCCCGCTGGCCGAGCGGACCCACGAACACAGGAGCTGCCAGACAAACAAGCCCTGCCCTCCCATCTGGACTCCCGAACTCTCCCGGTAAAGGAACTACATTGCCCATAATGCCGCGCGCGACGGGCCGGCACTCCCGCCGGGTACCCTGGGAGGAGTAGTCCAGGCGTTCCATAAATTGCTCGCGCTCCGCGCTGCGGGAGGCACGCCCGCGCCAATATGGCGGCGCCTGTTTAGGGTTCGTCCGTTTGCTTCGAGTTATGGTCGGGGCGGGGGTCTGGGCTTCAGGCAGTTAGTGGGACTGGCGGCGGGAGTTCCATGCAGGGACATGGGAGGCACAGGGAACTTGTGGGCGGCACGGCCTGAGGAGGGGGAGGTGACGGGCCGCCCAGGTCGGCCTCGGGACGCGGCTTCTGGCGTCGGGTCCGTGGTCCCCGGCCGCGAGGACCTCCCCTCCTCGCGCCCCTGGACCCCGTGGTGACTTGGAGGGTTTGAGGGCCCGGTCTCGGCCAGAAGTGGGAGAGGCAGAAATCCAGACCACGAGCTCGAGGTCAGACTTGCGAGTTCCGTTTTCCGCGCTTTTCCTCTGAGGAACGGGATGAAAAGGAAAATAATTGCATTTCAGCGTTTCCTGCGACTTAGGAACTGTGCTAGGAGCTTTGCATTTCTCATTTCCAGGTGACCCTCTGCCACACTCGAGTCATACCTTGAGCCTGTCGCCTAGGTCCCCAGGGCTTAATGTCGAGATCACTGGATAGATACATATTAGAGGGCCTTGGCCTTAATAATTATTAATGGCATCTTTTATCCCCAGTGAATATCCTCGCGGCTCTCAAGCTTTGGGACCATGCCCTAAACTGCTATAAAGATTAATTTGTTCCGTTTAATTCATTTAAGTGTCATAATCTGGTACAGAGTGTGAGAAGCGGAGATTTTAGGAAGTGGAAGTGATTGATGGTCCCCCGGTCCTTGTCAACTCTCAATTTAGGCTCGCCTTTGCCACCCCAGCAGTAGACTACGTGTGGTGATGGGTTTTCTTTTTTTATTAATGATGTCAATATGCCTTTAAAAGCAGCTATTGATTTTGGACCAAACCCTGTGCGCAAAGTTCTTTTTTTTTCATTATGTCATTTGATTCTTTAAATGACCCTACATGATGGGTGGCATCCCATTTTATCTATAAGAACACAGGTTAAGTAATTTGCCTAGGTCACTCAGGTAGTGTACAGCAGGGATGAAAAATCCAGGTCTTGCTCTCTCCACAGCCCAAACAACCCTGTATACTCTAAGGAACCACTTAAAATAGGTTCTCCCAAGTATAAAATAGGGACATGTGGGGGAAATTTGTTTTGAAAATAAAAGTATTTCTGTAACGTCATATTTTTTAAGGGTAATATTTAGTTTCACAATGTTTGGGGACCTGTTTGAAGAGGATTATTCCAGTGTGTCAAATAATCAGTATGGAAAAGGGAAGAAATTAAAGACCAAAGCTTTGGAGCCACCTGCTCCTAGAGAATTCACCAATTTAAGTGGAATCAGAAATCAGGGTGGAACCTGTTACCTCAATTCCCTTCTTCAGACTCTTCATTTTACACCTGAATTCAGAGGTATGCTATGTTACATGCATTTGATTAGTAATATGTACCCTTGGTTCTATACCTAATTAATTATGCAAAATCACAACTAGACAAAGTATCTTAAAGGTATATTCTTTAGCACATGTTTATTGTTAATGTAAGACATAAATTAGTAATTCTCAAGAGAAATGTGAAGCTTAAATTACCTTAATTCTGTGTAATCACAGTAGTTTAGTAACAAAATCTAAAGGCAGCGTCTTTTCTCATTCTTATAATTTAAAATACAACATAAATACAATTTTGTCATGAATGCCAGCCTTCATTATTGTTACACTGTTTGTATTTTTGAGTTTTAAATTTTATCCAAAATAATAATCACTTAAGGCAGAGTCACCCAGAAGGGTTATATCCTTCCTTTTGGAGTGGATATACTGCCCATAATCATATATCTGCAATTCTGAAATTTAGAAAACTCTAACAACCTGATCTGATTGGAACTTATTGGACTTCAGAACTTGACCTGATGTGAGCCCATGTATAGCCTTAGTTATCTCAGTTGAATAGTCACGTATTTGTTACAGGAATATGAATTTCCTTGATTAACGAATACTGTTTGCCCCAGAACCTTTTGTGGATTTAATGTTAAGATATATAACCCTTTCTTCATTAAGATGTGTACCTTTCTAAAATCTGGAAATTCTGAATTCCAAAGACCCAAGATGTTAGATAAAGGGATTATGCTCAAGGAACAGAAAGCCACCCAGATTAGTTCAATTTAAAGGGGGATTTCTTGTAAGAATATAGGGGAATCTCCTGGAAACCACCTACAGGAAGCTAGCCCGACCTCACTGGACCCTTGATTTCTTGCCCGTTTCCCTCTGCATGTTTGTCCCATTCCCATCTCTGCGAACTAGCTTCCTCCACAAGGGTCTTAATCTCCGTGTCCCTTCGATTTCAGCGTGAACATTCCTTCACCTCCACGTGGCCCTGATTGGGGCCCCCAGCTCTACATGGCTTTGTAGCTCAGCTCGCCACCATGTCCATGTTGTGAGAACAGACAGCCTAGTTCATCCTGTGTCGAGTTTGTGGCGTCTGCCTTCCCACCGCTACACATTTATCAGATCTTTGTGACGTTTTCTGTTGCTTCTAAGCTTAGAAAGACTTCCTGCCTCCAGAGATTTAGTAAATATTTACTGTTATCCCCTTGGGGCCTCTTGTCCTCGACTCCATCCTCTCCATAAAAATATTTCCCCGATGCATTCAGTAATTAAGCAGATTTACAAATTTTATTATCGTTGAAGTTAAAGAGCAACTTGAAGTAGAAAAGTAGCCTTAAAAAGAGACTGAGGCAGGCCGTGGAGAGTACCACTACGCAAGCATAGGGCTGAGGACCCAGCCCATCGTCCTCCCTAGCAAGGGATGGTGCTGGCCAAGCACGTGGGTTGACATTTTAGTGTGGATTGTGCACTCCTTGTAAGGCTTAGCTTGAATCCTGATGCTTATTGAAGGGGAGGTATAATTTGGAAAGAGTAAGGACTGGCAGATACCTGGGGGAGAATCTTGGAGCTTTATGGAATCATTTTAGCCCTATGAAGTAGGGCTAAAGTGAGCTCATTGTCCTTACAGTTCAGTGTAGCTGAGAGTAGTGGGAGATGATTGTAAAAGTCTGAGTATGGTTTTATGCTTTTGCCTTTACCCTTGTAGTTCATGTTTCCCAGTTCCTCCCAGGAACTCAGGAGGAATATAGCGTTCATAACAGTAATCACTATGGCAGCAGTGGTTGTCACGGGGAGATGACACCCATCCCATCCCTTCTTTCCCTGGAGTGTATCAAAGTGCAGCACAAGACACTGCCTACCACAAAAGAAGAAGGGCATGATCTCAGCGTCGAAGGTGGTCCTCATGGAAGGATGGTGGGAAGTCTCACATGTAACTTGTAAATGAACCCACGTGACACTTACATATTTATGTTATATTTCCTAGTATTCCTTATGTGGCTTTAGTGACCCACTGTGATAAGCAATAGGAAGCCATCATATATTTCTGACTTAAATTACTGACGTTACTGTTTTTAGTTTTATATGCATACTTATTGTTTTAAAGATCGTTCATTCTCAAACCTTAGCATGCCACTTTAGAGAGTCAGTGGTTAAAAATAATGTTACCAGAAAGTAAAATGTGTAGAGTGAGGGTATAAATATCGCCACAGTCACATTTCTGAATCTTTAACTGATTATGTTTACTGCTGGTCTTGGTTTGCTGAGATGAGATAATGTCATTTGCGTCTCTGATTCTCCTTTTTTTTGTTTAGAAGCTTTGTTTTCTCTTGACCCAGAAGAGCTTGGTTCTTTAGAGGAAAAGGATAAACCTGATGCAAAGGTACCAAATCTGTGATTTACAGGGGTTTTTTGGAGTATTGAGGAAATGTCTTTTAAGGAAGGAATTAAGTTCCTTTTTCATAGCAATCAGTAATTTTATTAGCTACCTAATAATGACGCTTCTATTTTCAGAAAGTGACTTGGCCTGTACCCCACTAGTAGTGAATTTTCCATGCAAAAGAGAATTGCTTTTCCAAACATAATGCTGCACTGCTTTATAGGTAACCTGACTTTCCACTATGTTTATTCTTTCTTCTGGTGAAGGAGATATTTACAAATCATCCACACAAGCCTACCAGAAACTCTCCCTATTTGTAACAACAACAACAGAGGCCAGTATTGTAGTTTGGTACTCTGGAAATAACGAGCGAGGAATCGGTTTATCATAAGTGCGACCTAATCACGTCCCCCCATTTAAACATCATTCAGAAGCTATTGCTTTCGGACTGGAATCTGTACTTCTTACTGGGAGTCTTTTGTGATTCAGCCCACTGCTTCTCAAACCACCTGTGCGGCCAAGGGGTAGTTTTGTGTATTTTTTAGAAATTCCCAATCCATTGCAGATCATACATAGTTCTGTAAGAAACAATAAAAATGTGGCAATGTTAAATTGTCATAAAAGTTTCTAAAGGCTTATTCACACTTTAGATACTTAAATTCGGTTTGCAGACCAGGCTCTGAGCAGCATCCTCAGTCGGCCCAGCCCTCACCCCACGAAATATGGCATGAACAGGCTTGGAGCCTGCGGGAAGAAAGCGGGGCGGGAACAGCCAGCCCTGTGAGGAGTCTGAACTCCAGAGTGAGATGCTTGGGACTGGAAAATTCCTCATAGGGAGTATGTCTGTATTCGGGATGCTTCAGAGAAAGAATCAACTATTAGAGACTTAAATTACTGTCAGTCTGTAATCAGTTGGGTGCTTTAATAAGGCCTATTTGAGTTTTAATATTCATCTGAACTATGTCAAAGTGGGAAACTTCAGATTGCTAAAACATTTTGGGTTGAATTTTCTAAGAAGAATGAATCTTAGCTAGTTAACCCTTTATAAGATTTTTATAAAGCTTCTGAGCGAACTATGTGAACTAGGAGATATGAGAAAACTAACATGCAGTTCTTTCAAAAAGCCCCAACCAACTTTTAAAAGACTTCGTTTAGAAACGTATTTGTTTCTCGTTTAGGTTCGAATCATACCTTTACAGTTACAGCGGTTGTTTGCTCAGCTTCTGCTCGTGGACCAGGAAGCTGCCTCCACAGCAGACCTCACTGACAGCTTTGGGTGGACCAGCAATGAGGTACGAAAGTCAGCTTCCCTAGGAAAAGCTACCAGCAATAAAGAGGAAACACTGGGTTAACATGTTGTCTAACTTCCTTTAATTTTATTTAGGGTCTCAATATTTAAATATTTACTTCTCATTTTAAGTAATTACAAGCCAAAGATATAGTTTTAGACACTTGCTGTATGCATGATTTTATGAATGGTTGTGATTTTGGGGTGGGGAGAGGGTTGTGGATATAAGGAGAAGTAAAAGAGCTGGTTTTTACAATTTTTATGATTTTTACAATCATGTAGTCTAGTTGAGATACACCCATTACATAGAGATTACCATTTATATAGCAAACTGCTTGATCAGCTTAAAAAGCTGACTAGCAACAATTCTGCCTGCCCTTGTGACTTCCTTTAGTATTTGAATCCGAGTGTTCTGATTTGAACATTTGCTTCAAGCAAAACAGTGAAAGCATCCTTGGAAGGTCTTTTCATGTTCCTATCCTGCCTTTCTCCCGAGTCTCTTCATTTTCTTCCTGTATCCTGCTGTAAGACTCCCATTTTTCTGTTTGAGTTCCTAGAGGGTATTTCACTGTATACCAACGAAACTTTTGTCAGAAACAAGTAAAGGTGCTTGCTGTCAATATTGGTGAGCTGTTGGCTCTACAAAATTAAACAAAACCAGGTCTGTAATTTTTAATGGAATAGATGTATTCTTGCAAAGACGGAGTTATAGGAAACAGGAAAGAGGCTGTGTTGCCTTCAACAGTAAACTCTAAACTGATCTTCTCAGGGGAGCACTTCTCAGCCAGATGATGCTGTGTGGTTAGAGGCCAGGCTCAGGCTTTAAAGTTAATGGGGCAATACATTCCCTAAACAGTGTTTGTGAAATTCCTGGTAAAAGGCAGGTGTTTAGGGTTAATTCCTTTTTCTTTGCTTTTTTTTTTTTTTAATAACCACTTTGTCACAATATAATTCACATGCCATAAGATTTACTCTTTTAAAGGGTACAGTTCAGTGGTTTTTTAGTATATTCACAGAGCTGTACAGCCCAGCACTACAATCAATTTTAGAATATTTCACCACTCCAAAAAGAAACCCCATGCCCGTTAGCTGTCACCCTCCTCATCCCCTGGCAACCAGAAATCTCCATTCTATCTCTATGGATTTGCCTATTCTAGACATTTCACATACGTTAGATGAGATGGTGTGGCATCTGTTGTAACTAGGTTCTTTTGCTTGAAATAATGTTTTCAAGGTTTATTCATGTCGTAGTATGTATCAGCACTTTATTTCTTTTGATTGCCAAGTAAAATTCTGTTGGAAAGATATAGCATATTTTTTTTTTAATCCAGTCATCAGTTAAGGAATTTTCCTTTATGTTCGGATAATGAGCTTCCAATAATTTGCTGGTTTCTTACTTTTCAAAGCCATGAAAACCTTATTTATATTTAAATAAAATTTTGTGGGAAATTCTTTAGGACTAGACCTGCAGTGGCAGACAGGGTCTCTGAGGCACCTCAGGCAAATTCAGGATTATTCAGAAACAGCTTGAAAATTTCCACAAGTTTCCGTCCTATCAGAGCCAGTGATGTTGAAGAAATTTATATCCTCTAATATCTTGTATGTTGAAAAACAAGAAAAAGATCGTGAGTCCCACGTCTTGCTCCAGTCTTCATCCGCTTTGTCAGCGTCTCTTCATACGAAACTCACCTTTAAAATTGTCTCCCTTTGCTGCCTCTGCACCTTCTGTTTGTTCTTCTCCCTCCTTTCTACCCTTCTTGTCAGAGCCAGTCATGACATCAGTGTGCCAAGTCCAGGAGACAGGTCTCTGCGCATAACTTAACAGCTCTTAATGGCACTCGCTGCCCCTCCTGCAAGCACCAGCTGCTGCTGGTCCCCAGACCTCACACTCCTGGCTCTCCCCTGCCCCTGCTTCTCCTCCGCCTCCCATGCTGGTTACTCCTCTCCACCGTTAGGAGTTGGTGTTGGTTTATAAGTTGTTCTTAGGGAGCAGTTCAGTCCATTCATTCAAAAGTGCATGACTCATACAGATTCAGATGAGTGCCTTTGGAGTTTTTCTCAGGAGCACTGTGCTAGTCTTGTTTTAGTGTGTTTGTGTCAAAGCAGTAAATTTTGGTTCTTTTCAAATGCTGAAAATTCAGACTGCTTACCAGCCCCTCTGATCTAAGTGAGATTTCACTGTGCACACTGCCAGCTCCTTGAGACTGCCATGTGCCTGTTGTGTTCCTCCTCTCCTTTCTGTGGCATGGCCACCTGTGTGCTTTCCCACAATAATGCACAGGCTTTCCTGTTTTCAAGTGAATTGAGTTGTATGTACGCAGTGAACACTGCCTGTCCATGTTTTCATTTTGTAGTAAAATGAGAACAGGTGGTGATTTCTTCACCTGCTCTCAGCTCGTTTAGCTCAGTCATCCTTATATTTGATCAAGGCTCACCTTTGGATTTCTTGATAAGTCTTGTGTTTTTTAACTGATATCACTTTAAAAATCTGTTTTTAAAAATCCGAAGCCCAAAATTACATTTAAAAGTTACCTGTTTTATAGGAAATGAGGCAACATGATGTGCAGGAACTGAATCGAATTCTCTTTAGTGCTTTGGAAACTTCTTTAGTTGGGACCTCCGGCCATGACCTCATCAGTCGTCTGTATCACGGAACCATTGTTAACCAGATTGTTTGTAAAGAATGTAAGAATGTCAGTGAAAAGCAGGTGAATATGCAAGAGTATTTTAGTAATAAGTTATATTGTAAAGTATAATTATGTCATTAGTTCTATGATTACCACATGAGGATTAAAGTGTTTATTACTAGAAATAACTTTGTCAGTTTTTTTCTTTAACTTTTAGCTACGCCTATCATATAATCCAGATTTCTCCATATAAACAGAAAGAAGCAGATATCTTAAAATGTAGCTTCCGTGTTTTATTCAGCACTCTGGTACAGGGTAGGTGTTTGGAGAACAGATTATAAGTAGAGGGCGGTGGCCTCAGGAGAAAAGCCGATATTGTCATGGTGGGTGGTTGGAACATTATAAAGAAAGTTAGCTAAGAAATTAGCCTAGAAAATGGACAAACAGCTGTAATTAAATATTGGATTTAGTTTATTAATGTCTTTCGGAAATTTCGTTTTATGTGTGTGCTTATGTCTAAATATTATGTTAAAATATATAAGTACATATTATATATAATATTACACGTAATACTATATATAGTGATGTAAAACCATTATAATCCTGTTTAAACTAGTGTAACCTTCAAGTCTTTGTCATAACAGATTGCCCATTTAATCTACTTGGAAATTAGAAATTGGAAATTTGCTCATGTAAATATAATGATCTTTGCTTGCTCTACAAATCTTACACAGCAAATGATTTCATCACTGAAGAGTTGTCTTAAGAAAAAAAATCTCTTTTTGTTATGTCAAGAGTTATAGAAATTTTCTGTATTTGACTATGAGTAAAAAAATGCCATTCTCTAAATGTTGCATGAATTGTGTTTTTTTGTTGTTTTTTATGAGAGTTAAGGGCAAAAAATACTCTTGGCCCTTATTGCCTGTGCTAATAGGTTTTGTCAGCCTAGTTTGGAACTATTAAGATGTGTGTGTCTTTGAATTACTGTATGATTGACTTGACTCTAGTAATAATTTACAAAGTAATTTCAATTTTAAGACAGTATCTGTGAAGGCACATGATAAATTACAGACATTAACTTTTCACATACAGATAAACTAGGTATTAATGTTACTTTATTACTTTAGATTTTTCCATGAACTAATCAGCTCTGTTATGTTGCAGCCTCAGTAACCCCATTTAATGCTGTTGCACATGCACGAACACACACACACACACTCTCACACACTCACACACACAGCTAACTCTGCTTTAAGCTTGCCAAATTTTAAGTGTTTATTATTAGAAACATGTCATAATTCAAATGTAATCGTAGAATTGATAGACTCCTGTTTTGCAAAATCCTCCTCTTAATTTTCATTAAAAACACCTTTTTGTCCTGGCTTAAAACTTTTTCTTTTAACTTCCTTAGTATGTCTCAAACCAGCCCTAGCAGATGGTGAGAAAGCAGCGTTTACATTGGGGCATTCAGACACATGTTGCTGGTCTAGTCTAGAGCGTAAGACAGCACTAATTAGCCCTGCCCATATGCACTTCTCAGTTTAGCTGTGTGTTCAGTGATTTGTTTTAGCTCTTGATAAAATGGGTTTTACTGTATCTACAATGATCTCATAAGCTAGTTCCTGATAACATTTTAAGCTAAGTCATAGTTTGATTACGAAAGGATGATTTGGTGCTATGAATTCCACAGTATCTGATCAGGTGATGTATACCTTATGTACAGTGTTTTAGGAAAAATAGATCTAAGTATTCCCAACATATGGATGAGTTATTGATGTGTTTGGGAACCCTGTGATATTATTTTTTCAATATTATATCCACGTGTATTTCAGGAAGACTTCTTAGATCTAACAGTGGCGGTCAAAAACGTATCAGGTTTAGAAGATGCACTCTGGAACATGTATGTGGAAGAGGAAGTTTTTGACTATGACAACTTATACCACTGTGGAACTTGTGACAGGCTGGTGAACGCAGCAAAGGTAAAGAGAGATGCTCTGCCTTTTCTTAGGATCTCCACTTAGTAGTTGTTAGCAGGAAGGTCTGTCAAGTGAAGTCAACTCGTATGAAAAAGTCTGGAAGATACACGTGAAGCCCTTGATTAATACTAAGGATTGAAAAGACATGTTATACATATCTGTATTTTAATTTTTTTACAATGAAGGATTTTTTTAAGCTTCCAAGCCAACAGTTCTCTCAGCTTCTTTTTCTTCCAGGAAAAATTTATTTGTACCTCAGTGTTTCTTAAATATACCTTTTTTGATAAACTCCCCACATCCCTCCTTTTTGCAAATTACTATTATGAAGAAGACAATATGTTTTTATTACTGTCAAAAACTTGCTTTCCTTTCACAGTCTACTACTGTGAAAGTAGATGGCTTTCTTCATTTTCTGCATATGCAGTTATTTTACAGTATCTATCTATTTATCTATCTATCATCTATCTGTCTATCTGTCTATCTATATCTCCTCCCAGATTCTAGCAAATCTGCTAGCCCCTCTCTCTCCCCCAGCTGGAGCGGGAAATACTTAAGTCGCTAAGGGCTTGACAGAGTACTTCTAGGTTTCTTTTTGTACAGCAAAGCAAAATACAGGATGAAGGGAAGACAGGATGTCCACAGCTTATTTCTTCTGCAATATGACGTCAGCTCTGCTGCTGTCGTCGTTAGCTGCAGTGGTCACTGTTCCACTGGTGGATGATGTCATAGGCTCTTAGCACGATGAACTCGAGCTCGATTCAGTCAGTGGTTATTGAGCACTGAGGTAAAGACCACAAAAGACGTAGCTTTGCAATTACTCTCATGATGGAGAGAGAGCGTTATTTCTAGAGCTGACAATTACTGCATTTTCCAACAAAGAAAATGAGGCCGAATTTAGATAACACACACTATTGATTTGGATCCTGGTGATTGTAGGTGAAAATGTAATAAAAACAGTAAGCCCCTTGCCTGTAGCTTTCACAATAGAATTTGAAACCAGGGTAAATATTATATTGTTTAGTACTTATTTCCATCCAGTCTTTGCCTCTTTATGAAACCCAAAGGAAGAGGTTTATGTTTTGCTTGCTTATTTTGTGCTTCATCTTTGGTTGTTACAAATACAACCTAATAAATATATAATTCAGAGGATGAAAAGTCGTAGAAATATAGTTAAATACATTCTTAGTTTCGGTTGAACTTAATTTGCACATTAGTAAAACAAGAACTCTTTAGTAAACAAAAGCACTTCTTTTATGCACCTTTTATGTCATTGATTTAATTCTTTTTCAATGGAAAAGTTTTAATCTTGATGCTTTTAAAACTGCCTTCTAGTTGCATTAGATTTATTGCATTCTAAGTTTATGTTTAGTTGTGCTACCTAAATTAATGCAGATTTCTTGTTTTGAGCAGTCTTTCTCTTCCCAGCCACATTGTAGTTGAGTTTCTCAGGTTTTTTAGGTGTATTATTTGAGCTTATTCAAAAATCTACTGTGTTGTTAAATTGCTGTTTTGCCATTTAACTTTTTTTACCCATTAGATTTGTGGAATTGTTTTAAATACAGTTTTAGAAATGTTAGATATTTATATTTTGGATAATTTTGTACGTGCGGAAGGATTTTTTTGCCCCCTCGCATGCCATTAACGCTGCAAAGGGGTTGGGAAAAGCTGATGACTTTTAAATATAATTTTAGCAGCTTAATTTAGTGTTTTGTTTTAAAGCAAGGACTTCAAACAAACAAAAAATCTTCTTACCTGCTTCTAAGAACAGTAACTGTAAAACCCCAGTCAATGGATCTTAACGTTTGAGGAGTTAAAGCCCTTTTGAAAGCCTAATGAAAACTATGAATCTTCTCCCCAGAAAAATACATATGCGTGAGCAATTTTCCTATAATTTCAGGGGTCCGAATCCATTGAGACAGGGCCTTAGGCCCCAGAATTAGAGCTCCTGTCCTTCAGTGACTAAAAAGAACTGTGTGTCTGCTAATGTGCCGACACCAGGAGAAGAAGGTGAAAGTGCCAGACTCAGGCAGGAGAAAACAGGGAGGGGCACCTGGCACAGCACGCTCACGGGGTAGTGTGTGGGTGCACGCTGTGATCTTAGTGTGTGAGCAATAAAAACATAAAATTGAGTTGTAAACTTTTTGTTGTAGAAACGAGTAATGTTATCTTTAGTTCCATAAGATACATTTATATCAAGGGCTATATTCAGTCCGCGGTAATGATTTTAAGTGATTTAAGGACATATTTGTCTTAAAACTGTGCATAAGTTGTGTTTTTCTATATTAAGAAATATTATGTAGGACGTGGTTCCATAGTGTAGCGGTCAGCACATCTCTACACGCAGAAGGTCCTGGGTTCACGCCCCAGTGGGGCCATGGTCCATGGTCTATGGCCACGCCACCCTGAACAAGCCCGATGTCTGATCTCAGAAGCTAAGTAGGGTCGGGCCCGGTTAGTACTTGGATGGGAGACCACTTAGGAAGACCAGGTGCTGTAGGCATAAATAATAATAAATATTTTTTTGAAAAAAGAAACATATATTCTTTTATATAACTGCTTTTTAAAAACTTAAATTTTTTTTCTTTTTTAACAGTCGGCCAAATTACGTAAGCTGCCTCCCTTTCTTACGGTTTCATTATTAAGATTTAATTTTGATTTTGTGAAGTGCGAACGATATAAGGAAACCAGCTGTTATACGTTCCCGCTCCAGATCAATCTCAAGCCTTTTTGTGAACAGGTTTGAACTATTTTATTTTGAAATGCTCTTTGTTTCCCCTCTCAAGGTTAAATCTTTAATTGACCCAATTTTCAGTTGGCTTATTGCAGAATCTCAGCCTTGGCACTATTAACACTTTGGGCGGGATAATTCTCAGTTGTGGGAGGCTGTCCTATGCGTTGCAGCGTTTTCAGCAGCATCCCTGCCCCCGCCCCCCTCCACGTAGTGATAAGCATGTCTTCAGACCTCGCAAATCTCCATGTCTCCTGAAGAGGGGAGTGGGTAAAATCACTCCCAGCTGAGAACCACTGGTTTATTACAGCCTTTTTGAATTTCCACAGTATAGATTTGTTCTCAGTTCTTTTTATTAAACTCTTCCTGAAAAATCTTTAAAGTGAAAATTTAAGAACAAAATTAGAAATGACCCTGCATTGGGAAAAATTACCATTAATTGTTACTTTGCTATTTGGATTTAGTTTACTTTAAATGCCATAATGAATTAAACATCTAGAAAGTGACCAGGTAATTGGAACTTCACTATTCTAGAATTTTTAAGTCTTAAGACATGGACAAGAAAAAGTTTTGAAAACAAATTAATTAATCAACCTACTCTATAAGCCATTCAAAAATATATTCTATATAATTGCTATTCGTGCCGAGATCAGAATGATGAGACGGATGTATTTCTTACTATACATTATTTACATATTTATTAAGACCAGAGCACTTATTAAATACCTATTGAATTTCTAGATATAAAAATTCAGATGGACCTTTCTCTACTTCAAGCCTAATTGCTGAACTTTTTGGTTTTTCTTTTGTTAATTTAATTACCATTCAAAGTTTATAGTGTGTTGACCCTGAGCTTGTTATTGGCACACACGGAATAAACAGTTCTTCCGTAGCAAGTTAATATACGTAACTCCCTCTGTTTACTTCCTAAGAAAAAAATTTGTTTTCTGAATAATTAAGGTAATTCTTATTTCCCCCAGTTTAATTGAGAAATATAATTGACATACATTACTGTATAAGTTTAAGGTGTACAACATGATGGAGTGCTTTACATACATCGTGAAATAATTACCACAGTGGGTTTAGTTACCATCCATCATGTCACATAGAAAAATTCTTGTCCTTTATAAAAAGTAGTTTGCCAGATGATTTAAACATACTTAGAAATAACAGAATTGAAATAAGTAAAACATTGAGCACTTATCTAAACAATTCACAATAATTTTACTTTTTCATTTCTGTATCAATGAAAAAATGATCACTTTGCATCTTTGTTTACATTTCTTTTGCCTGAACCAGACATTTAAAAAATGCTGCTTACTGAAAGAGTACAACTTTTTAAGCATATAAGTTTCTTAAATAATTGGCACCCCATCAAGTAGCACCCATATGCAAAGTATCTCTTCACCTAAAGCAGATTTTTTTTTAAATGCCAGCGTGAGTGTCCATCTGTTGGGAAGTCATAGTTATAGAGCACATTAATTATAGAAAAGATTAATCATAGAATTCATAAATCATTCCACTAAACTGCCTCTAAATAAAACCAGCTTGTATTCATAATTTCTAAATTCCTCTCATATTCAGAGGACGGAAGTGTCCCGAGGGGTGACAGAAAGTAGATATGGCTCTACTAGGCACATGACAAATCAGGCTGGAATATTGGAAAAAGTCAACAACTAAAGAACACATTTATAAAGCAGCATAATAGGTATAATACAAGGATGTGTTGACTAAAACTTACAGACTCATTGATAGGGTAGTGTGTTTCGTTATCACATGGGCTTACGTGATCTTAGCCACAGTACGTAAAACTAACACCTCGTTTGTGTATAGTTTTCATGTTTACCAAAGAGGCAGAAATTGGTTGTTATAATATGATTGGTATTAGATCAGTGATAGATAATTTCCAATCTAATTAGGAATTTTAAAATTTAAAGCCAATTATTCAAATTTATCTTAATTTACTCTTAATAACAGTAATAAAGAGTGAAATTTCTTATTGATGTCACTAGTTGAAATTCTTTTTTTCCCTTTGGCTATATATCTTCCCATTTTGTGTATACCATGTCAATGTTTATGTTCTTTTGTAGACTGAACTGGATGACTTGGAATACATGTATGACCTCTTCTCAGTTATTATACACAAAGGTGGTTGCTATGGAGGACATTATCATGTGTATATTAAAGATGTTGATCATTTGGGAAACTGGCAATTTCAAGTGAGCATAGTACCTTTACAATTTTTTTCCTTTTCTAGTCCCGTTATTTGGTGAGGATAATCTTTTGCCATTTAGTATATATTCACTCTGTAGACTACTTTGATGGGCACTAAAAGTTAACATAGAAATTTTCAATTTTTCTGAATAATTTCACATACAGGAAAATAACCAGCATAGTACAAACACATCTTGTATGCTCTTCACCGAGATTCTCCAGGTAACATTTTGCCACGTTTGTGCAGGCACACAGTCTGTACACACACACAGCGTTAACATGATCATTATTAGCGCTGAACCATTTGAAATTATGTTGAAGCCATCAGACCCCTTCACCCCTAAATATTTCAGTGTTTATCTCCTGAGAACAAGGACATTCTCTCACATAAGCATAGGTCAAAAGCAAGAACTCCAACACTGATGTAATACTGTTATCTAATATATAGTTTATATTCACATTTCACCAGTTGTCTGATCTGAATCTTTTATGGCATTCTCTTCTCCCCTCTAGTGCCAAGTCCAGGATCGTGCATTACATGTAGTTAGCATATCTCTTAAGTCTCCTTTAATCAATAATTGTTCCTCAGCTTTTTTTTGTCTTTCATGGCACCAGCCAAAGATGATGAAGACTTTCCTCCTATATTGTCTTCTAAAGTTTTATAGTTTTGCCATTTACATTTAAAACTGCATTCGTTCTGGAAAGGTTTCCTGTGAATGGTATGAGATTGTTTTTTCCATTTATTTTCCATTTCCAACTGCCCGTTCCATTTATTGAATAGCCTATTTTTTTCTCCACCAATCTCCATGCCAGTTCTGTTATAGCCATTGTTGACTTACGTGTGAATCCATTTTGGGCTTTCTTCTGTTCCATTGTTCTTTTTTTCTCTTCGTAGGCAAACCCCACATTATTAATTTCTGTAGCTTTATAATAAGCTATGAAACCTGGTAGGGCAAAGCCTCCCTCTGTGTTGTTATTCTACAGGAGTTTTCTGTCTCTCCTGGCTTGTTTTACTTCTGTGAACATTTCCAGAATCAGTTTGTCAGTATTCTCTCTCACACACTCACACACACACACACACACACACACGTGGGGATTTTCATCTACGTATGAAAACAAGGTATATCTTTTCCTTTTTTTAGAGTTTCTTTAACATCTAATACAAAAAGTTTTAGAATTTTCTGCAGGAAAGAACTTGCAGATATTCTGAGGAAAAGCCCTCACTGGGAATCTAGTTCCAGTTATTCGCAATGGGAAGAATTCTAATGCGTCACGTACCAACCCCAGACTCTCAGCCAGTTTCCTAAATGTATCTGAAACACAGTAAAATATCAATATGTAGGTTACAAACCAGCATGTTAGGTGTGGAACGCTGATGCACATCTTGGTTATCACATGGTTGCTGGGTAGTCCCTTCACGCGCACGTTCCCTCCGTTGACATTCGGTTTGCTTCTCAGCACTTCTGTGGGCTCCCGACGCTCTAGGTCAGGTGTACTTGGGAAGTGATGAGAGGTGTACATGTTCTATATATGAAGTCTGGATATGAAAAGACCAAACTATTCCACCAGGAGAGTGCTTACCAGGGAAGTGTTCTGTGTGACTAGATCTGTACTTTGTAGTTTTTGGACTGTTTGGCTAGTGTATCGATTTTATAACCAGCCATCTTGCTAAACCTTCTCATGTTGTAGACATCTTTGGAAAAAGACAATTTTGTTTCACCCTTTCCAGTCCTTTCCATTTCTAATTGCTAGAACTCCAGTTCTGGGTTAAGAAAGCCATACAAGCATCACTCTGAAATGCTTGGGCCACGTTTGCCAAGACACTGTAGAGTCTTGGGCACGTGCCCAGTCAGATGGAGTGAAGCGCGGCTTGTCCTCTGGTCTGATGCGGCCCTCAGTGTTTCCCTGCTTAGACTGAGCTGCTCTTTATTACGTTACCTGCCTTCCCACTGCGCTCTCACCTCTCCAGGCTCCCGGAGGAGAGCACTCATTCTGTAGAGCATTCTCTCCCACCCTTTGAATTGTATTAACTTTATTTCATTCCTTCTAAAAGATGAAGTTGAAACCTTTTGTTAGATTCTGTTCTGACGGAAGCTTGTGAACAGGTCTGGTGAATACTTCTTATTCTCCTTGTATATTTATTCCCTTTGCCCCCTGTAGTTCTGTTCCCGTTTTTCTTCTTCCAGTTAGCCTGCAGGCATTGTAACCTTTCTTTCCGATATTGCCAGGTTTCTCTTCAGTATTAGAAAGTGCCCCCACCCCCACCCGCTACAGCTTTTGCTCAGCTAGTGTCAGATTTCAGGTAATTTTCTAGCTGGTGGGATTCATCTTTTGATACATAAAATGTTTGCCGTTGAGCTCATGTACAGAGGTAGCTTCACACCGTGGTGAGGCAGCCTGTCTCGAGAGTAATGATTTATTCCAGGTCTTCCCTTTGAGTTGTGATTCCTTGGACATCTCTGCAATTTTGTGTTCCTTTCTTCAGCATTGATTAGCTGTTTTCCGGCAGTGCCAGGCTCTTCCCGGTTCTGTTCTGTGACGCCAGAGGGCGGGCGGGCATTCTTTCATTTGGCTTTCTGCACTGCTTCTCTATTCGTGAAGCTTTGTTACCTTAGCTGGACCTTCCACGGGGCTTAGAGAACAATGAGAAGATTGCTTTCCGTTTATGCCGAGTGTCTTTCCTTGTTCATGGCTTCTAAGGAAGCATCCCATTTGTTAACTTTTTTTCTTATTCTACAATTTCTGATTAAGAATCATTAGCTTTCCATCCAGAGCATTGTGCTTTCAAATAGTGATTAGTGCTTTAAGAATTTCAGCTTCGGTAGGTACACCTGCCAGATACTGTTCATCTCTGCTGCCAGTGTCCTGAGCAGTCTCTTGTGCCAGAGACAAAGAGTTTCAGGTATTCTAATCATAGCCATGTATTGTTCTTTCTGCTTATAGTTTGGCAGTTTTTCCCCTTTCGAGGAACTTTTCCCTGCATTCATGGAGTCCTTTAATAGGTGCTGTCTTCAAGGAGTAACTGTGTGACCAACCTCATGTAATTTTCCCGAGGTTAAAGTCAACGTTTCACTCTCTCTCTCAGTCTATCTAGAAGGTGGTCCCTTTCTTCTAGGAGGCCATTAGCTATTCAAAATGTGACTCCAGGTCTGGCTGGAAAGAGGAGCCTGATCTCTGCCTTCCGCTTCCTAAGGAGTAGGGGGACCTCTGCTTCACTGAAGGTTGACATCACTTCTACTACCATCTTGTACATTTGAGGAAGTAGGACAAAGAAGGCTTCACAACAGCTTCCAGTAAGTGGCCCCGGGGTTGGTGCCTGCCGGAGCAGCCAGTCACCACAAGGCCAAGGTCGGACACTGGCAGAGTGGAGGAGGAGGACCCCACAGGAAAGAGGCCCCTGCACTGCGGGTCCTGCCCCATCGCCCCGTGCACCTTCCCTTCGCTCTTCCTTCGTATCCTTTATAAGAAACTGGAGTCCTGCATTTGAACTCCTGAGATCTGTGAGCTGTTCAGGAAATCATCAAACCTAAAATGGGAATTGTAGGAACTCCAGAATTTGTAATCACCAGGCAGAAGTGGAGGTAGCCTGGGGACCCCGTTTGCGGCTGGTGTCTGAAGTGGGGACAGTCTTGTGGGCTTTAGCGAAGTTAGTGTCAGAATTGAATTGTAGGACACCCAGGTGTTGTCAGAGAATTGGGGGAATTGGTCGTTTGGAAAATCTATCATTCACCTCCCTACTTTGGGTAGGTCCTCAGGCTTTGTCTCCCAGACGTTGTCCTATATGGGCGTCAAGGTGGAAGTTCTGTGCCAGCAAAGTTGGGTGGCTAGAGGCCCCAAATCTGGCTCTCCTCCCTGGATTCCCACTTCACTTGTTCTCTGAGCATTTATTTTCCTGATGTCCTCTCGCTAGCACAGCATGTGTTTAAAAAGATGTTTTTGTTTTATGTTTTACTTTTATCCAGCATTTTTAGTGATTTCACAGCAGGATAATTATATTTGGTCTGTCATATTCTACTATTTATTATTTTTGTCTTGGGTTAATTGTTTAGGTCTGTTTGAATTTATAGTTTTAAACCAATTTAAAATGCTTTTGCAAGATGGCATATATGAAACAAATAAACCGATAAAAATACCATGTGTAGGGATTTTTACATGTTCCCAAATAACTTGATAGAATGGGGTAAAAACTTTGATGATCAGGAAATAGAAGGGAGTATTTAAGCTGAGCTTGCAAAGATGAGTAAGGTTTTATTGGGCCAACACAAACGAGTGAGGATAAATTGGATGAAGACCAGGAAATATTTTGAACTGAACGATAACAAAAACACAACATATCAAAATTTGTAGGATGCAGCTAAAGTAGTACTTAGTGGGAAACTGTTGGCACAGTGTGTATTGTGCTAGAAGGTTCACTTATCTCACAATCCCAATTTACAGATAAGGCCAGAGAGATTGAAGTAGCTTGCCCAGATTATTCAACCTAAGCCGGAATTCGAAGCCAAGTCTGCCTGATTCCAAGGCATATATACAAATTATTATGTTTTTATCATCATTTCTCTGTCTTGAAATCTCCATAGCACAAACATTTCTATTTTGTTAATTACCTTTTAAGGGATTAGTGATACAAGCTTTTTATTGTTTTTTTTTCCCTAGGAGGAAAAAAGTAAACCAGATGCGAATTTGAAAGATATTCAGAATGAAGACAAGATCGATGATCCACTGATGATTCTAAAAGCAATCTTATTACAGGTAGAGGGAGAGTGTATGAGTTTGTGTGTGTTTGTATGTTAGATATATATAAAAGAGATTTAGTTGGTAGAACTAATATCGATTTCATCATGTTTTTCCTTTGGACATTCTCTATGTCTATTTTTAAACATTTTTTATTTGAGACTTTCTGCTTATAAAAGACATGCATATTCATGGTAGAAAACTTGAGAGAGGAAAAAAAACTAGAAAATGTTTAAAAAAAATAAAAAGTGTAAAGACACGAAATGTTCAGTCTTCGGTAACGTTTTGACATTTGTCTTTTGCTTTTCCTTTCTTTGCGTTTATACACATATATTGGGGTTAGGATATGCGTTGGGTTTTTTTTTTTTTAGGTATTATTGTCATTTTAAATAGCACTGATATTTGCATACTATTTTGGAATTCGCTGTTTTCTCATGTTATCCTTTTAATGTGTGTAGGACCTGAAGTTATGTCCCCTTTTTCTTTCCTAATATTGGTAATACCTCATATACATGACCTTTAATGTTTGCTTAGTACCCTGTTATAAAGATGGCAGGTCTCCTTTCATTTATTCAGCTCATTCTTAATAAAGAGTTTTTCATAATTCTTTTCTAGGGACCTGGGCTGAGTCCTTTAACTATCTGGGTCTGTGGCCAGCATTAGTCTATTAGGGCTGCCATAACAAAATACCACAGAATGGATGACTTAAAACAACAGACATTTATTTTCTCACAGGTCTGGAGGTTGGCAGTCCAAGATAAAGGTGTCAACAGGTTTAGTTTCTTCTGAAGCTTCTCTCTTTGGCTTATAGAGGACTGCTTTAGTGTGTCCTAACAAGGCCTTTTCTATGTCCATGGGTATCTCTGGTGTCTGTGTGTGTCTAAATTTCCTCTTAAGGATACCAGTCATCTTGGATTAAGGCCCACCCTGATGGCCTCAGTTTAACTTAATCACTTCTTTAAAGACTCGGTTCAAAAATGGTCACAGCCAGAATTTTGAGGGTTAGGGATTCAACATATGAATTTTGTTGGAGGGACGCATTTCATCCTGTAACGGTCACTTGTTAACACCCCTTTTAGAACTTGGTTATACTTTGAAACATTCAGATTATATTTCAGTAATGCTGTTTTGCACTCAAGATATTTATTCTAAAAATCCCATACAAAAATCAGGAATTTATCAAACCTCAGAATACTCCTTGGATAGTGCTCTTTAAATGTTTAAACTTTGGAATATGGAAAGTTGCAAAATTCAAGATTTCTAAACTGAGGATTGATCTACTTTAAAAAAATTTTAAATTTAAAAAAATTTCGAAATAATTATGGTTAATCCACTTACACGTTTGCTGTTGGAGGAACCTTTAATGACATAATCCTGTTGGTCCTTTAGGACTGATAACTGTTACACTTATATCTCATAAGATTTTCTTAAATGACTTTGTATTTCTTTCTTAAGGAGGAAAGTAATCTAATTCCTGTTGATCAGCTGGGCCAGAAACTCTTGAAAAAGATAGGAATATCTTGGAACAAGAAGTTCAGAAAACAGCATGGACCTCTACGAAAGGTAGTACATGGCATTTTGACAGGAAAGTCCTAGTCCCAGGGAATTCCATTAGGATCCCGGCAGCATGGATACCTTTGCAGAAGGAAACTTCAGTTAGGTGAAAATAAAACGAGTTAAGTTACTTGTTAAGTATTAAGTAATGTATCATAGAGTCAAGTAAGCAGAAAAAGGGAGGGCTTTTAATTCCCACAGCAAAAAGTATCACAAAGTTCATACCCCAAAACTTGACAATTTTGCTTATAGAAATGTCTTCAAGTGTTCACTTGATCTTTCTTATACACACAATTCTTGTACACACAATTCTTGGTTTCCTGGGCTGTAAGATTAGAGGCAAAAACTGCACTGCCTCAAGTAAGAGATAACAGTTGTCTTCCCTGGAAACAGGCCAAGCAATGGGACTCTTGGCAAATATTTTGGAGCTATTTGTCATAGGAGCAAAGAGCTCATACATTTCAGTGTTTACGTGCATCTTTTAAATAGACCACAGTTTGTAAATGAATGTTGGTTTAAAGTTTCTGAGTACATAGAAACTTTTAAGGTTTTCGTTTAAAATGATTGCGTGAGTCTCAGTATTTTAAGTATATTAGCTGTGCAGGTTTTTTAAAAAAATACAGATACCCTTTATAAGTTTGTGGAAGTTAGCTTTTATTCATAGTCGACTGATAGTTTCCTCTTGAGTAGAGGTTGGATTTTATCAAATGCTGTTTGTTTTACATCTATTGATATGATCACATGGCTTTTCTCTTATTCTGTTAATGTGAATGCTATTGACTGATCCCTTTAATGCAAGCAAAGCTTACATTTCTGGGTTAAATCCCACTTGGTCATGGTATATTTTTATGTATTGCTTTATTCATTCGACTTATTTTATTAAGGTCTTTTGTGTCTATGTTTATGAGAGATATCCATCTTTAATCTGATGTCTGTCAGATTTTATCAGGGTTAGATAGGACTCATAAAACAAGTTGGGAAATATTTCCTTTTTTATATTCTTGGAAAGAATTTCTCTAAGATTGATTATTATTTCTTAAATATTTGATGAAGCTAGTTAGACCTGGAACTTTTTTATAATATGGTTTTTAAATTTTAGTTTTAATTTCCTTGATTGTAGAGTTATTTAGGTTTTCTGTTAATTCTTGCATTGTTTTAGAAAATAACATTTTTATCTGTGGTGTCAAATTTATTGGCATAAAGTTGTTGAAGATATCCCATGTTATCTTTTTTAGTGTCTGTAGGACTTGAAGTTATTTCCTCTTTTTCATTTCTGATATTGATAACTTGTGTTTTCTCACTTTTTTTTTTCTTCAGTCTTGCTGGGAGCTTATCAAGTTTATTAAACCTTTGAAAAACTAAACTTTTGCCTTTGTGGACTTATTTTACTGCTCGTCTGTTTTCTGTTTCATTGGCTTCTGCTCTTGTTTTAATTATTTCCTTCCTTTTACCTCTAGGATTTAATCTTTTTTCTAGCTTGTTGGGTTGGTATCTCAGTTGTTTTGAAACTTTCATTTTAATACACGCTTTTAAAAACTATGTATTTCCTTCTAAGCACTCATTTAGCTGCAGCTGTATTTGACATCTTTTCGTTATCATTTTGTTCAAAATATTTTGTAATTCTTTGCAATTCTGAGTTTTTTGGAAGTATGTTGCTTAATTTCCAAATATTTGGGGAATTTCTAGTTATTTGTTGTATCTATAAAGTGCTTTCTGATTAACTCCATTATACTTTGCGAACATGCTCTCAGCGCCTCTGACTTTACTGAGACTCGTTCATGCCTGGGCTTGAACTCCCCTCTGCCATGCACTGCTGCAGACTGGGAGGTGGCGGGTCAGGGAAGAGCTCACCCTGGTTTGCTTCCTTTTTTTGAAGGATTATGTGTCCTCCACTTTATGTCTGCTTTTGGTTACTCTCCAAACAGCTGTTTTCATTATTCTGTCTGGAGTTTATCATTTTTATTAGGAGAGTTATTTCAATAAAAGTTCCACCTAAAAGAGTTAATCCTCGACTATTAAACAAAGAAAAAATTGGCTACACAGAAAGTTCATTACTCAGTGGTTCCAAATTGTTGATATTTTATTGTACCTAAAACAAACGAGCTACCAAACTGTCTTACCATCTGCTACACACTGTGTTAACAGTGTTTCTGCCATATGCCCTGTGCCCTTCTGTTTGTGAAAAAATAATCCTTTGATGAGAGACTTGGCATTACCACAGATCATTTATTTCTAAGACAAATGAGAGGCTCACCTTTCCACAGTGATCGATGAGCTCAGCGTGTACTTCCAGGGTGATTTTCAGTATAAAGTAAATTTGTACTGAGAGAGACAGAGGCTGATACACGGCCACATGGAGATTAGGGGATGGAGAGGTGGGCTAGGCGGTAGCGAGAGAACAATTTTTTTCTTCTCAATCCTTGAGCTAGAAGAAATTGAGACATAGTCTTTGAGATTATGATTTAAGCCTTTCTATGCTTTCATTTCCTGAGCTAGCCTGTCAGCTTCCAGGACAGACGGTATTCAGTTCTTTAATGTTAAACAATAATTTAGGCTTAAAATTACTACCTCATCCCACCAGTTTGTCTGAGTCACTGGCTTTGAAATGATCCTCTATTGTGCTTCACCATGATTGCCTTTGTTTTGTGCTTTGTTTAGATTGCTTTAAACATTTCAAAATTGTTCTACTTCATCTGTTTCAACTAAGTACTTTTTAAAAACAGTGCTATTGAGATATAATTACGATAGTTTTATAGTACAGCATGGCAACTTTTTTCTTGATATAACTATTAGACTATTTAGCAGAGAGAACTCTGATTTTTATTAGGTGTTTTATTATGGCCTAAATGGATTTCTTTTCCTCCTTGCTGGCCAGGCCAAAAATAAAGATGAAGTTAAAATATCTAATCACAAAAAGGAAGACGAAGTTTTGTTTTTATCGTGTTTATGAACCTAATATCTGTTTGTTGTTTCCGTCTAGTTCCTGAAGCTTCATTCTCAAATATTTCTACTCAGTTCAGATGGAAATACAGTCAGTCTGTTGAAGAACTGTTCTCTGCAGGCTGAGTCTGGTTTCCAAAGGAGTGATCAACAAATTTTCAAGACACTTCCTTCAGAATCCCCAGGATTGAATGATAGAAGCTCCTGTCCCCACTGGTTTGATATAAATGATTCCAGAGTCCAGCCCATCAGGGAGAAAGACATTGAACAGCAGTTTGAGGGCAAAGAAAGCGCCTACATGTTGTTTTATCGGAAATCCCAGTTGCAGAGGCCCCCCGAAGGTACGGAAGGAAAGTGTTCCTCTGTGTGTAGGTCGGTGGCTTTAGAAGATTAAATGCTGTTTGAATTGTTACCTTTTAAAAGAAGATTTACTCTTAGAACATTTAAAAATATTTTTAAGCTAAGAGAAGTATATGAGGCCAAAAGGAATCCACCAGTCTGTGATTTTTTAAGACTATATATTTTTATTTAATTTTTTTCTCCTTCTGATAATACGAGGCCATAGTCAGATTTCCAGAATTGGAATTTCTTGGATCATGTGCTATTTTCTTAGCGTGTGGGCAGATCTGTGTGTGATCGCCCATGCCTGGGCTTGACTCTGTCATTTGGCCCGTGTTGCCTTTGAGTTGTAAGTGGTCTTGGTCTTATTTTCGTATGTTCCCTTTTATTTTACTTTCTTGTTTCCTTTCCCTCAAGGTAATGTATTCTCTGGGATTGCAGTATCTTTGAAGTACTCTTTGCTTTCCCTTCTGAGAGAGGTTGCACCATGGAAGTTAAACACTGACTCACAATGATACAGTTTTTAGTTGAAGCCACTAACACGAATCAGCCTGTAAGATTTTTTGATCACTTTCCAAAGTCTTCGCAGAAGCAAAAAAAAAAAAAA